CCTTGTCGCCAAGTGAGGAGAGGAGGTATATATGTGTGTTGTGTGTGTTTTGTATATATATATATATATAATATTTTATTATATAATATATATATATTTATATATATTTAAAATATTTATATATATATATTTATATATATATTTTTACACACACATATATATCATGCCGAATAGGTAAAACTGGTCAATTAGCAAGAACTCATTTAAACTCAAGTCCTTTCTAAAATTTTCTCTTATATGTTTAAAGATATATTTTTTCATTTATGTTAATGTAAAAATTTGTACCAAAAGAACCTTAGAAAACTTACCTAACCTTATTATAACAAGATCAATTTAATTTAGCCTAATCCAACTAAATATATTTTAGATAAGTTTAAAATAATTTAATAATAAACAAACACAATGAAATATATTTTTTCCATTAGGTTCAGAATTATTTTTGTGAGATTATTGCATACACAAATTTTTGCTTCCCTTATACTGCAAGAAGTGTGTTGAAGTTTAAGCCAAAAGTTTTACCTATTTGGCATGACATATATGTATATGTAACGTGCAAAATACCTATATTGAAAAAACTTAATTCCAAGATATCACTATTTTTACTGTGATTATTTTTGCATATTGTGATATCACGCATTGACTGTGATCTTACTGCATATATGTATTATATTATATTATATTATTATTATATTATATTATATATATATATAATTATATATTTTATATATATATATATATATTATATATATAATTATATAATATTATATATATATATATATATAATATATATATATTTTATATATGCAAAACAAACCACTCTAAAAGAGTGGTTGTTTTGCATATTTGCTTATTCTTTCAGAGTGGTTGTTTTGCATTTTTTGGGAATCACCTGTTTACTGTGATCTTATTGCATATATATATTTATATATTTTATATATATATATATATATATATATATATATTATATATTATATATATATATTTTATATATTATATATATATATTATTATTATTATTATTTTTTTTTTATCACACCGCGTTTTCCCCACCAAGGCAGGGGGGGCCGAAAAAAAAAAAACTTTCACCATCATTCATCCATCACTGTCTTGCCAGAAGGGTGCTTTACACTACAGTTTTTAAACTGCAACATTAACACCCCTCCTTCAGAGTGGCAGGCACTGTACTTCCATCTTTAGGACTCAAGTCCGGCCTGCCGGTTTCCCCGAAACCCTTTAAAATGTTACTTTGCTCACACTCCAACAGCACGTCAAGTATTAAAAACCATTTGTCTCCATTCACTCCTATCAAACACGCTCACGCTTTCCTGCTGGAAGTCCAAGCCCCTCGCACACAAAAACCTCCTTTACCCCCTCCCCCCAACCCTTCCTAGGCCGACCCCTACCCGCCTTCCTTCCACTACAGACTGATACACTCTTGAAGTCATTCTGTTTCGCTCCATTCTCTCTAAAATGTCCGAACCACCTCAACAACCCTTCCTCAGCCCTCTGGACAACAGTTTTGGTAATCCCCCACCTCCTCCTAACTTCCAAACTACGAATTTCTGCATTATATTCACACCACACATTGCCCCCAGACATGACATCTCCACTGCCTCCAGCCTTCTCCTCGCTGCAACTTCTCACCCACGTTTCCCAACCATAAAAAGGCGTTGGAAAAACTATACTTCATACATTCCCTCTTTCCCCCAAAGGACAATTTCTTTGTCCCACAGCTCCTAAGTGCACCACTCACTCTTTTTCCCTCATCAATTTATGATTCACCTCATCTTTCTGACCCATCCGCTGACCTCCACTCCCAAATATCTGAATACTTCCCCCTCCCCTACTCTCTCCCCCCAATTGATATTCTTTTTCATAACCAAAATCTTTTTGTTATCCCAAAACCTTATTTTTCCTGTTTCACCTTTAATTTTCTCTTTTGCACACCCTACCAAATTCATCCCCCAATCTCTGCAATTCTCTTCGAATCTCCCAAGAGCCGTGTATCAGAAAAGAGCAGCTGTGACAACCCCCACTTTGTGTGGATTCTTTATCTTTTAACCCCACCCCTTCCAAGACCCTCCATTTCTTCTCTTACAACCCCATCTATAAATAATTAAACAACCACGGTGAATCACACTCCTTGTCTAAGGCCTCTTTTACGGGGAAAAAAAATTTCCCTTTTTCCCTACAAACTCTAACTTGAGCCCATATCCTCGTAAAAACTCTTCACTTTTCAGTAACCTACCTCCCCACAATACACTTGCAACATTCCACATTTCCCCCCCCATCCCCCCTGTCATCGCCTTTTTCCAAAATCATAAATGCCCCAAAGACTCTTTGCCTTATCTAAATACGTTCACTTAAAGTTTCACTGTAAAACCTGGGCCACACACCCCCCACCTTTCCTAAAGCCTCCTTGTTATTGCTACTATTCTCCGTCTTCTCTTAATTCTTTTAATTATAACTCTCCATACATTTACCCGGTACACTCAACAGACTTTTCCCCTATAATTTTTGCACTCTTTTTTCCCCTTTGCCTTTATACAAAAGGAACTAGCATGCTCTCTGCCAATCCTAGGTACCTTTCCCTCTTCCTAATTTTTTTAAATAATTTTCACCCCCACTCCAAAACTATATCCCCACCCCTTTTAACATTTTTATCTTTTTCCCCTCAATCCCCCGGGTGCCTTACCCCCCTTTTTTTTACCTATGCCTCACGAACTTTCCCCCCCCTCACAACGGGGTCTTCCTCACCCTAAAATGTTTTTTTTCCCCCTTGCCCCTTTCACGAATCACAGCTTCCCACTTTATCAACATTTAACAATTCCTCAAAATATTTTCCATTTCCCAATACTCTAACTCTCCATTTAATAATCTCCTCTCCTATTTTTAACTGACAAATCCATTTTTTCTCTAGGTTTCTTAACTTGTTAATCTCACTCCAAAACTTTTTTTTTTTTTCAACAAAATTTTTTGTTAAACATCTCACCCACTCTCTCATTTGCTCTCTCTTTTTACATTGCTTCACCACTCTCTTAACTTCTCTCTTTTTCTCCATATACTCTTCCCTCCTTGCATCACTTCTACTTTGAAAAAAACTTCTCATATGCTAACTTTTTCTCCCTTACTACTCTCTTTACATCATCATTCCACCAATCGCTCCTCTTCCCTCCTGCACCCACTTTCCTGTAACCACAAACTTCTGCTGAACACTCTAACACTACATTTTTAAACCTACCCCATACCTCTTCGACCCCATTGCCTATGCTCTCATTAGCCCATCTATCCTCCAATAGCTGTTTATATCTTACCCTAACTGCCTCCTCTTTTAGTTTATAAACCTTCACCTCTCTCTTCCCTGATGCTTCTATTCTCCTTGTATCCCATCTACCTTTTACTCTCAGTGTAGCTAACAACTAGAAAGTGATCTGATATATCTGTGGCCCCTCTATAAACATGTACATCCTGAAGTCTACTCAACAGTCTTTATCTACCAATACATAATCCAACAAACTACTGTCATTTCGCCCTACATCATATCGTGTATACTTATTTATCCTCTTTTTCTTAAAATATGTATTACCTATAACTAAACCCCTTTCTATACAAAGTTCAATTCAAAGGGCTCCCATTATCATTTACACCTGGCACCCCAAACTTACCTACCACACCCTCTCTAAAAGTTTCTCCTACTTTAGCATTCAAGTCCCCTACCACAATTACTCTCTCACTTGGTTCAAGGCTCCTATTACATTCACTTAACATCTCCCAAAATCTCTCTCTCTCCTCTGCATTCCTCTCTTCTCCAGGTGCATACACGCTTATTATGACCCACTTCTCGCATCCAACCTTTACTTTAATCCACATAATTCTTGAATTTACACTTCATATTCTCTTTTCTCCTTCCATAACTGATCATTTAACATTACTGCTACCCCTTCCTTTGCTCTAACTCTCTCAGATACTCCAGATTTAATCCCATTTATTTCCCCCCACTGAAACTCTCTACCCCTTCAGCTTTGTTTCGCTTAGGGCCAGGACATCCAACTTCTTTTCATTCATAACATCAGCAATCATCTGTTTCTTGTCATCCGCACTACATCCACGCACATTTAAGCAACCCAGTTTTATAAAGTTTTTCTTCTTCTCTTTTTTAGTAATTGTATACAGGAGAAGGGGTTACTAGCCCATTGCTCCCGGCATTTTAGTCGCCTCATACGACACGCATGGCTTACGGAGGAAAAGATTCTTTTCCACTTCCCCATGGACAATAGAAGAAATAAAAAAGAACAAGAGCTATTTAGAAAAAGGAGAAAAACCTAGATGTATGTATATATATATATGCATGTGTGTGTCTGTGAAGTGTGACCAAAGTGTAAGTAGGAGTAGCAAGATATCCCTGTTATCTTAGCGTGTTTATGAGACAGAAAAAGAAACCAGCAATCCTACCATCATGCAAAACAGTTACAGGTTTTTGTTTCACAGTCATCTGGCAGGATGGTAGTACTTCCCTGGGTGGTTGCTGTCTACCAACCTACTATATATATATATATATATATATATATATAATAGTACTAAACTGTAATACATCATATTGTAAATTGCTTTAAATTGTTACATTGTAATGCTGTAATCTTTATTAACTAATTCAATAGTGTAATAAGTTTCTACTAGACTTATCAAAACCATGTAGCATCACCTGATAGAATATACAGTTCTACTGTACTCACTGTAACTCATCTAATGACCATATGAACTATTATTGCCTTACCAATCTTATGTTAATCTTTAGGTTTTCCCAAAATGCTCTGCATATAAAGGGGCTTTTGGCATGTACTCCCAACTATTATATTCCTCTGTACAACCATGTAATTTGTCAAAATAAACATTTATATATATATATATATATTTATTATATATATATATATATATATATATATATATATATATATATATATATATATATATATATATATATATATATATATATATATATATATATATGAATCACAGCTAAGGAAATCATTCCTAATATCACAAGATATTTGTTCCATGACTGATTTTGTTCAGAAAATTGTTCTTGTTTCACTTGGGGACTGTGCTTGTTCCAATAATGTTTTGTCTTGGTCGAGTTGCAACTGTGTGTGGGGGGGGCAAGTATCAATATACAGTCACCCTGATAATAAAGCTCCTCTGTATACATACAAGTTCCTCTATATATGGTCAGTTCCCTTATGAAGCTCTATATACAGTTCTCTTATAGAGCTTCTCTATATACAGTTAGTTCCTCTATATGCACTCAGTTCTCTTATAAAGCTCTATATATATAGTCAGTTCTCTTATAAAACTCTATGTACAGTCAGTTCTCTTATATAGTCACCTTTTATAAAGGTCCTCTAAATAGTCAGCTCAAAAGTAAAGCTCCTTTATATACAATCAGTTATTATAAAGCTCCTCTATATAGTCCTCTCTTATGAAGTTCCTCTATATACTGTAAGGTTTATTATAAAACTCCTCTGTATACAATCATTTCTCTAATAAAGCTCCTCTAGGTGGTCAGCTCTTTTAAAGCTCCTCTATATAGAGTCAGCTTTCTTACAAAGCTCTTGTATTCAGTGAAATTTTTCATGTGACTGAAAAAGTTCATCCAATACTGAGCAGCACAGACTGTGAACTTCTTCAGTTACATATACGTACGTAAAAAAATCACATACAGAAAGCTGGCTGTATTCAGGAGAGCTTTATAAGACTGTAATTCTGTGAAGTGACTGGGTTTCAAACCGGTGGTTTCGCCATCACAGAACTACCAGCATGTTGGGCACAGAAAAAAAAGTTACATTCCATGACAACTGATTCCACTTACTCCATTATGGAAAAAATGGGAGGAAATAAAAACTAGAATAGAGTATAAAACCAAGTCTAACCACACGATAAAGCATAAGTCTAATGGGAGGGACTTGGGAGTGATAATGTTAGAGGATATCACCTTCAAGGACCCCAATGATGTCACTATAACAACTGCAAGGAAAGTGATAGGATGGACAATGACAACCTTCAGAATGATTGGTTGGATAACTAGAACCTTCAAAATGACAGGCTGGTTAACTAGAACATTCAAAATGATAGGCTGGATAACTAGAACCTTCAAAACAAGTGATGCCAAGCCAGTGATCCTGTTTAAGTCGCTTGTTCTCTCTAGGCTGGAATATTGCTGTACACTTAACAGCAACTTTCAAGACAGGTGAAATTGTTGACCTGGAATGCAGAAGAGAATGATACATCATAATTTACACCTGGAAAATCCTAGACAGACTGAGACATTATAAGAAGAATGACTCTAAATAGAGGAGTGTATGACAGGGTGGATAGGGGGGCAATGTGGCAGATGTTGCAGGTGTATGGTATAGGAGGTAGGTTACTGAAAGCAGTAAAGTGTTTTTGTGAGGATAGTGAGGTTCAGGTTAGAGTATGTAGGAAAGAGGGAGATTATTTCCCAGTAAAAGTAGGCCTTAGACAAGGATGTGTGATGTCACCATGGTTGTTTAACATATTTGTAGATGGGGTTGTAAGAGAAGTAAATGTGAGGGTCTTGGCAAGAGGAGTGGAGTTAAAAGATAAAGAATCACACATAAAGTGGGAGTTGTCACAGTTGCTCTTTGCTGATGACACTGTGCTCTTGGGAGATTCTGAAGAGAAGTTGCAGAGGTTGGTGGATGAATTTGGTTGGGTATGTAAAAGAAGAAAATTAAAAGTGAATACAGGAAAGAGTAAGGTTATGAGGATAACAAAAAGATTACTTGATGAAAGATTGGATATCAGATTGGAGGAAGAGAGTATGGAGGAGGTGAATGTATTCAGATATTTGGGAGTGGACGTGTCAGCGGATGGGCCTATGAAAGATGAGGTGAATCATAGAATTGATGAGGGGAAAAGGGTGAGCGGTGCACTTAGGAGTCTGTGGAGGCAAAGAGGGGAATGTATGAGACTATAGTTTTACCAACGCTCTTATATGGGTGTCAAGCATGGGTGATGAATGTTGCAGTGAGGAGAAGGCTGGAGGCAGTGGAGATGTCATGTCTGAGGGCAATGTGTGGTGTGAATATAATGCAGAGAATTCGTAGTTTGGAAGTTAGAAGGAGGTGGGGGATTGCCAAAACTGTTGTCCAGAGGGCTGAGGAAGGGTTGTTGAGGTGGTTCGGACATGTAGAGAATGGAGCGAAACAGAATGACTTCAAAGAGTATATGAGTCTGTAGTGGAAGGAAGGCGGGGTAGGGGTCGGCCTAGGAAAGGTTGGAGGGAGGGGGGTAAAGGAGGTTTTGTGTGCGAGGGGCTTGGACTTCCAGCAGGCATATGTGAGCGTGTTTGATAGGAGTGAATGGAGACAAATGGTTTTTAATACTTGACGTGCTGTTGGAGTGTGAGCAAAGTAACATTTATGAAGGGATTCAGGGAAACTGGCAGGCCGGACTTGAGTCCAGGAGATGGGAAGTATAGTGCCTGCACTCTGAAGGAGGGGTGTTAATGTTACAGTTTAAAAACTGTAGTGTAAAGCACCCTTCTGGCAAGACAGTGATGGAGTGAATGATGGTGAAAGTTTTTCTTTTTTGGGCCACCCTGCCTTGGTGGGAATCAGCCAGTGTGTTAATAAAAAATAAAAAAAAATAAAAAAGTTTTATGAAAGCTAGAGAGAAGTTGCATAAACTGACTGTAGATGAGCTTTATAATAGAACTGAATGTATTTAGAGGAATTTTCTAAGATAAGTATAATTAAAAATTAAATGAAGTATATTTTCAACTGTGACTGTCTTGCCATTATCGTATCTAGTCTAGAGTACTTCAGACTGGAGTCTCTCGGTCAGCTGAGGGTAATTTAAATGTTATGTGAGCGGTAGGCGAGACCTCAAGTGCATCCTGGCGTAGCAGCGGTGTAATGGGTCGACTGGTGGGGTTGGAACAATGATTGACAAGCTGAGTGTCGTCAGGAAGAGGGGTGGGGGAGGGGGAAGAGTGGGTGGGCGTGGTACAGGTGAGGGGTGGCGTTGCCAGCACCAGTGGCGAGGTCTCAGCTTCATCAGAGGGCTCTCTGGAGGTAGAGTCATGGGAGCTCAGGGCTCGGTGGAGCTTGTTCTTCAGTCGCCGCAGCTTCTCCAGAGATGTGGAGGAGAACTGCTCAGCCAGGGTCACGTGCTTCATCGCCGCCAGTGCTTCAGGGAGGTCTGGCAGGGAGGCTAGAGGAACATCATCATTGGAATATTGATCTGCTTGTGGTGTCGCCGGGCTCGACGCCGTCCGATCTCGAAGACCACGACCCAAGTTGAGCGACTGTGGACGATCTCGACGTAATGGAGATGAAGAATTTGAAAAGGATATCTGTAAAAAAAATAATGTGACTGGTGCTGTCATGATATATTGTACAAAATTATATAAAGGATCATTATAGATGGAAAATGACAGAGTGATACATTGTATATATGGTAGATATGTGAGTCAACACATGTTAAAGAAAATCACAATAAACAACTGTTAATGAATATAATAAGACTGGTCAGGGACTCGAAGTGTGGTCCTGCCTGGTACAGGTCAAGCACTGTTGGTACTGTACCAGAGAGGTTACAATAAGATGATTTTAGGTTCTTGTATCAGCAATGATTGAGACCTGGCTCATACCACAATACCAGAAGCTATCATGGTACAACTATTTTCATACCAAGGTATGACAATAGTTGTAACATGAAGGACTTCGGGACTGACCACCTTCTATCAAGACTGGGGGACTCGCCACCTTCTCTCAAGCCTGAGGGACTGACCATCTACTATCAAGACTGAGGGACTGACCACCTATCAGAACTGAGGGACCGACCACCTTCTATCAAGACTGAGGGACTGACTACCTTCTATCAAGACTGAGGGACTGACCACCTTCTATTAAGACTGAGGGGCCTCACCACCTTCTGTAAAGACTGAAGGACTGACCACCTACTATCAAGACACATATGCAACATCTGGGTATCTTTATTGTAGACGTTTTGCCATCCAGTGGCTTTATCAATACAAATTCCAGGCTCCTTGCTTCTGCTTCAGAATCTACACGACTATGGTGCTCTTCGCACCAACTCCAAGGTTGAGGGACTGATTACCTCATTTTCTGTATATAGTCCTACTGTCTTCAAGTTATGTCCTGGAATTTGTATTGATAAAGCCACTGGATGGTGAAACGTCTACAATAAAGATACCCAGATGTTGCATATGTGTCTTAGCTTCATCTTGTCGGTATTGTATACCATTCTTGTACAACTGATCACCTTCAATCAAGGCTGAGGGGAGTTAGTTTAATATGTTTATTATGCACCCCATACCCATCCTGTGGGTGGTAGTCAAAAGATTACAGAGGTACATAATTGGTCCAGGGACTGGACTCCAAAGTTTTGATAGCTGAACTAGGTACAAAGGTAATGAACTCACAAGTTACAAAGGTAATGAATCCTGTAAGAATGGTTACTTACGTTTATACATGGCTACAATCATGAACAAATTATAGAGTAATGAGCAATTCACACTTCCACACCCGGTCACAACTGTAATGAGTTATTGGTGCAAATATTGATTGTTGAGTCACACACATGGGGCCAGGAGCTGAGTCTCGACCCCTGCAACCACAATTAGGTGAGTACACAAACACACATGTCAAGAAGTTAGAGAAAGTACAAAGGTTAATAATAATAATAATATAATATAATCTTTATTTACTACAAGTACATGTACATGGTATACAGTCCTAGCTGACAACAATGACATACTACTACATAGAAAGCCACTTGTTATGCTGAGCATCTCGGGCAAATTAGGTCAGTGTCCCAGGATGCGACCCACACCAGTCGACTAACACCCAGGTACCCATTTTATTGATGGGGAACATAAACAACAGGTGGAAAGAAACACACCCAATGTTTCTACTCTGGCTGGGAATCGAACCCAGGCCCTCGCCGTGTGATGCGAGAGCATTAACCACCAGGCCAACAAGGCTAGTCCCAGAGCTCAGGGGAATGTCGTACAAGGAAAGGTTGAGGGAAATCGGACTGACGACACTGGAGGACAGAAGGGTCAGAGGAGACATGATAACGACATACAAGATACTGCGGGGAATAGACAAGGTGGACAGAGATAGGATGTTCCAGAGAGGGGACACAGAAACAAGGGGTCACAACTGGAAGCTGAAGACTCAGACGAATCACAGGGACGTTAGGAAGTATTTCTTCAGTCATAGTCGTCAGGAAGTGGAATAGCCTAGCAAGTGAAGTAGTGGAGGCAGGAACCATACATAGTTTTAAGAAAAGGTATGACAAAGCTCAGGAAGCATAGAGGGAGAGGACCTAGTCACGATCAGTGAAGAGGCGGGGCCAGGAGCTGAGTCTCGACCCCTGTAACCACAATTAGGAGAGTACAATTAGGTGAGCACACATGCACGCGCACACACACACACACACACACACACAGGAGCTTGGACTCGACCCCTGCAACCTCAACTAGGTGAGTACACAAACACACACACACATGGTAATGCATTATTTACATCTAGCAAAGTCAGGGTATTTCTCCAGAATGGTCTGTAATATACCACTGTGGATAAAATACTTTGCCATTTCTTGAACATTTCTGAGTGAGTTGTCTCTAAATTCATTAATTTTATCGCACTCCAGTACAAAATGACGCAAGGTGTGACAATAGTCCATCTGGCAAAGTTCACATTTCGTTTGATCTACATCTGGTGGTGGTGATTTAACCTGCCAAAGATACTTGTAACCCAGCCGGAGCCGAGCGGTAGTTACATCCAAGAGTCTGCTTATTTTGTTGGATGCACCATAGACATGTGGCTCCTCCTGCATGATAGAATGATGATAGATGGACTGACTGGTGTCAATCTCCCTGAGTCTTAAGTCAATAAAATTCAGTTAAAGTTCTTTTCATATTATTGTTGTCAAACTATTACCTGACAACCCAAGATTGTAATCTACCCCCTCTTTGAAAGCATACAGCTTAGCCAATTTATCAGTTCTATCATGCATCCGAAGACCAATGTGAGATGGAATCCACAGCATGTGCACTCTGACACCACTGTCCACAATCTTACCATACCTATGTCTGGCTTCTGACATAAGCATGCCACAATTTATACTTAATGAGTTGAGAGCACTTATGGATGACAGAGAATCAGTTACAATTAAACTGTCAATCTTAGATACATAGATGCATTTCAGTGCAAGGAGTATGGCAAACAGTTCTGTCTGAAGGGTAGAGGCCCAATTATTGATGCGTGCTCCAATTTCTTTAAGAGAGCCATCACTATGTACGACAACAGCAGCACTACCAGCTGCACCAGTGGATTGGTGAACAGAACCATCAACGTAAATAATTTGCGAGAGTGTGTGCTGTGTGACTAAGTTATCAATACAGCTTAAGGCCTCATGTTTGGCTTCAAGGCAAAGTTTTGGTTGTGATTTAAGAAGTAGTTTGGGGGGAAATGGAGGAATGGTAGTTTGGAATGGGGTAATGTCCCATGGAGCGGAGAAGTGCCGCTGTTTCCTTACTTGACATAGATCATGTATCTGATTCATGCGGAGGTCAGTTCCAGTTTTTTCGATCCATCTGGAGGAGTGTTCACCAGTGCTGAGGAAAGTTTGGAGGGCTTCTGTGCAGGGGTTTGAATGGGCTTGCCTGAGCATATTAACCCCAATTAGGATATTTCTTTCAGTAACACAATCTCTGATGCTTGGAATATCAAGTTCTTTTCGCATATTTAAAATTTTGGCAGTACGAGGGCATCCTAAAATGATCCTCATTGCTTCGTTCTGCAGTTTTTCCAGCCCTCCAAGCTTCCAGTCAGACACAAGAGCAAGTAGTGGTGCAGCATAATCAACCAATGTTCTAATATAAGCAAGATACATCATTTTCACAATTTTAACATTAGCACCATACCTGGGGTGAAACCCAGCCACAACTCTAAGTGCTCTCAGTCTTTCTTTGTATTAGGACAAGTTTGTTAAACGGGCCCAAGTGGGGAACCTAAAAGTAGATACCTGTATTGTTACATTTTTTAGAAGAGACCCATCTGCATTGGGTTTGACAACTGTCCCTTTCTCTGCAGGAGGACCCTATTGATATCTTTTTTTTCAGTAGAGATTATAAACCCCGCCCTGAACGGGGGCATACATGATTAAAATTTTTGGGTGTTGGAAAAATCCGGTGGTGTGAATCAATATCATAAAGCAGGAAAAAAAACAGTGCTTTTAAAAATTCCAAACTGCCTACAAAAAAACAACTTACAAAAAACATCTATTTCTATGAAAACGATATTTACGTCAATGGTGCCTTCCCCAAAATAAGACAAAACCTTCTTTATCGGCTAAGAAAATTACGCTATGCCCAAAAAATCCACCAGTGCTTTGTGAGGGATGGAAAAATCGCAGTTGGGAAAAAGCCCACGGGGAAGAGATACTTCACCTTACAGAACTGCCCTTAAACTTCCTAAGTGGGGCGGGGAAACAGAACCAGGTAAAGTGCAGATAATCCACAGCCACAGTTGTTTTATATTGTCAAAAAATTTGTGCCCCCTAAAATTCAAATCCCCCAATATTTTGATTGTCTTTGTTGTATTCAACGACCATTCTCCTCTAGTCTTAATTTGTTTAAATATCTACAGAATCTATCTCCTTTTTTTACAATTACGCATCACTGTTCCTCTTATTTTTTTTTAAACTAGCCAAAAACTTGTCCTCAATAATTCAAACCTTTTTTAAAAAATATCAATTGCCAATTTTATTCAAAAACCCCTTTTTTCCCCAAAATTTTGCTTTAAACTTTTTGATCAAACTTATTGTAAACTTCTTTTATTGCCTTTTTTTCTAACTTCTTTAAACTAGTATTTTCAATACAACTTTATATAAATGTTACCATCTTCAGATTTTTAAAAACCAAGTCATTGCCATTTTTATTTTTAATTTTTTTTTTTATTATTTTTCTTTTGCTACCTTAACTTGTGTATTTTTTTTCCTGTAATTTTAAATCTTTTACTTTTTTCTTGAAAAAAAACTTATTAAGACCTTGTGCAATTAAGTTGAGAGTCTTGTGCCTTTTTTATATTATTAGTTTAAATCAGTTGTACTACAGTAAATCCCAAAATTTTCCCTTATATTAGAATAGTGCAATTACTAGGGGGAGAGCTGGTGTATTTTTAATTTGTTTTTTTATATTTGATTAAATCTAGTGTACTAAGCTCATTTACCCAAAACTGACCAAAAATCTTATATTGACATTAGTGCAATTACAAGTGAGGTCTTGTTCTATTTTAAATTTTTTTTTTAATTACTAGTTTAT